ACTTGGGGCCCAGCGAAGGCCACTTTTCCAGAGTTGCAGTGCTTCATCTCATCAAATGGGCTTTCATGCTGTTTAAGATAACATTATGCAGCATCACATGATTAATGAATGTTTCCAAAGATGCGTGGATGGATGTCTGGATGTGGCTATGTGCCCTGAAAGTGGCTGGCGACCAGCCCAGGGTGTACCGCACCTCTTATCCAATCCTTGAGAGGAAAAGCAGTATAGAAATTAATGGACATTCGAACATATAATCGTATCAATAGCAGTCTTGAGATCTGATGCAGGTTTACCGTAAGAAATAATAACCGCATGTATTTATAATTCGTCAGCCCCCCCCCCCCCACATCCCTCAACTGCCTCCTTCCAGCTACACACATTCCAAACAGGTCTAATGTGACTGACAGCTTACACAGTTTAGAAAAAAAAAAAGTAGCTTTACAGGTGCCTCGGGTCATTCTCGACTCATGTAAAAGCAAAAAAAAACACACACACATAACACACACACACACACACACACACACACACACACACACACGCACACCTTCAAGTCAACACAAATTTACACCAGTTGCGCACACAGAAAAGCAAATTACTGTACTGCTTGATTGAGATAATTACATGATAGCAGTAAGTGATGAAAGCAGTCCAGCTGTTTGCGAACACACACACACACACACACACACACACACACACACACACACACACACACACACACAGACACACACGATGAAAATTTAATTTAAGCAGCTGTATGAACTACTGTTTCACTGTTGATGTAGAGATCAACCATAAGAACCTTCCAGAGTTCCAAGCAGCTTCAAAGTTTGGATGATTTCAAATGAAATGAAACTCACGTCAAGCACGGCGCGTTCCATTGAAATTCAAGACACGCAGCGTTGCCTTACACAAGGATAACCACAACTTGTTCCTACAAGACGGTAAAAGGAGCATCTAAATATTTAAACTTCTTTGCGAAACCAAACACCTGATGGAGCCTGTTAGGTAGGCCTCCGTCTTGGTAATCCTACAACGTCATCACAAGTATTTACAGGTAAACGCTCGGAAGGAAAACTCCACCTAAGTGCCATTTACAATCTTTGAGCACAAGAAAAGAAGTGCAATCCCCATGTAAAATAGTGTGTGGATCATGAAAAAGGAATAAAGGGATAATGTTATGAGAATGAAGATGGAAAATTCATTGAAGAAATAAATATTCTTGTGATGAATATTCTTCGATGAAAAATAAAAGTGTAAGATGACAACAAGAGGGAACTCAACCCGAACCCCAATCAATGGTTCTCGGTTCTCGGTCACAATCTCTGCAGCGGCATCTTGCAACAATATGCCATTTTGGGTTTGGAATTGGATTAAAACAAAGGACAAAGTGTCCTTGTTGCATATGAAAGCGTATGTATAAATTATTTGCAACAAAGGAGGTTAAACTAATCAGGTCACTAGCGAGGCCGTCCCACACGTACAAAACAATGGAAACGCACTTCACTCGCACAACAGCCGACATCTTATTAAGAACATTAGCTGGTCTTAAGGACGCAATAAGAGGACAATAGAGAACAAAACGCGGCATCGAATACAAACGGCTATTAATGCAAGCTCACGCGCGGCCGGCAACGGTTGATCAGGCGCGAGTATGTCAACACAGATCTGACACATCCTCGGAAAGAGATGCAAAAGCAAATTTAATCCCGCGGATGACGAGAAGCCCTCTCGGCTTGTGCTGTGACCAGAATCCGTCTATATCGCAGATCCGATTTGTGCTGTCGAATACGGAAGAAAATCAGCGGATTAATTTCACGCCAAAGTGTCATACAGTCTACATGTGCATGAAGCCGGGCCACTGTAAATCCGACGGCGTGGCTGGCTCTCTTAATTATACGCTGATTACTAATTGATGTCGGCTCACAGCACAAAAGCAAATTGTGTTTATTATCCAGACAAAGATCCAATCAGTGTTTTCGTCTTCTCTTGTTTGTTTCACGGAGGTGGACGTGGTCATGTGCAAGTGTAATTCCGCATCTTTTGAAATGATTAAAGGTTGACTCCAATGGCGTCTGCTCAGTTCCCTCTAAATGGCTAATTAATTTATGAATATAGGTCAGTTACCAGGGAGGGGGTTGGGATCGTTTGAAACATTATTAATGTATTACAGCCTTTCATGTGATGTATTTGACATTATTGATGATGTAAAATGTAAGCGTGAGGGTTTTACAACTGGGATTGACAGGGTCCTATGAGAAGGGTGCATTTTTACAATTTTTGGGACAATTTGAGGAAAAAAAAAAAACAATAACCCGGATTTGACTGTAAATAGGGTACATCGTCATCACTCGGGGCATTTTGTTTCGATGAGATTGCAAAAGGAGCAGCTCATTTCAATATCGGTCCTATCGCACAAAGCTTTTACCATTAGCCGAAAGAGTGAGAGAGTGCGCGCCAAACGATTCCAAAAAGCGTTGACGAGAAGCTGGTGTCGAATCGAAGTTTTGACTCCCAAGGCTTATTAGGCAAACCGTTTCACCGCTGGAGAGCGGCGCTCAGAAGCTTTGTTAATCACAGTGCAACTACAAACAAAAGAGCCCATCACAAATCGTCGATCATAAGGGGCCTCCTAAACTGCCGCATGAAGAGGAAGATAATGGGGAAGACTTGGGAGGTCCCTGGAGGGGGAAGCCTTTGAAAATTGGGGTCAGCGGCATCTAAAGGAGGAGACTTTCCCTTCTTGCTTCTTTCTTTGCTGCAACTTTAATCCAGCTCCCAGTTCAAACATCCGCAACTTCAACCCCCTCCTCTGCCTTTAGCAGAAGTGCTAGCACATCCATACTCCAAGCAGGTGTAGGGAGACACGGAACCCTAATTGCTTAGCTATGCAGTCCCAGCTGTGCCGCCCCTGACCATACCCTGCAATGATTTTGAGAAGCAGCTCGTCGATCGACCGCTCACTATTATTCTCCAGGGGGCGCAAAATGCTTTCAATCCAATAAAGTGACAAGCCACACTAATCATACAATGATCAGCGGGTGTGGGAATTACAGAATTGAATATTGCCAACCATAAACTCTTAAAACTGCTAGGCCAAAAGTAACTCAAACTGGGTGAAAATACCGGTGGTGAACCCAGCGCAGGGTCATAAAAGGGGCCGAGGCAATGCTGGGTGATTTATAGCGAGAGCATTACGTTCGACCCAGCACGTTGGTCAAGATCTGGATCCAACAAAGGCTAAAAACAACCCATAGTGATGAGTTAAAGCTACCAAAAAAATGGGTTAGCAGGTTAACAGTATAACTGTGGTTAAAAATACCACAAATTTTAGGACCAACATTTTTGTAAGAGAGAGAAGAACTTTCCCCTGTCTCCAGCATGTTACCCGCAAAATACAGTTTTTACACCACATTCCCGCCTGTCTGTCCTGATTAGAATTTGAACCCCAATCTTTAAATTTACTCCAACTGGATAACACAAACGGCAACCAGCGGGAAAACAAACCAGTATTTGTAATTAAATGTGCACCAAAAATAGAACAAACTAATTTGAGATGGCATTCTAATGATCTATTCATCCATTTTCTTTGACGCTTGTCTCGGATGAGCTGGAGCCTTTGGCAGCTATCTTTGGGCGAGTGCTGGGATACATCCTAGACTGGTGACAAATTAATCGGCATCTATGGAAAATGTAAAGTCTAAATGCACCTAACAAGTATGTTTTAGGAAATGTGGGAGGAAGCCAGAGCACCAGGGGAAAACCCACGCGCAAGCGTGGGGAAAGGGGCAAACTCTACATGGGACACCCGGAGCTGAGATTCAAACTCTGAACCTCGAGCTGTGCAGCAGATGTGCAAATCACTTGCGAACCGCGCTGCCAAGATTCAAATCACCAAATTAAAATGAAATCATTCAAATGAAATAGGCAGCATTACTGAAACCTACGACAGCTATGTGATCAATATTGAACACTTCTGTATGGACGCTGTAAACAATACTGATGCTATAAACGACTGCACTGACAATCACCAACCCACTTAGCCAGCTCAGACAAATCCCCTAAATGCCCATCAGCTTTAATCCACATCCACGTTCAATTTAACCATCACGCCCAGTCTCTTAATTGAGTTCCCTGTTGTGTTGCGTTTTCTCCTCACTTCTGCTAAGGTCAAAAGAGAAGGCAGATTTACAGCAGTGCACACTGCGGCACATCAGGGGGAAGACTGCACTCTCGCACTCTTGAGTGTAATTCATGTTCGCAGACTTTTTCAGAGTGAGGAAAACTGCAATTTGCGCTTGCATGCAAAATTAAAGCTTTTCTCAAGAAAAGTGGTGGCATAAGCCAAAACCATGAGGTCAATCTGCTCTGTTGATCTGATGTCATTAAACACACCGTTGCCTGTCATTAAGGTTGCAGTGGCTTTTCAACCTCCCTGTTCAATGAAAAAAAAAATTAAAGTAACACCAGTGGAGCAATAAAACAGTTAAAAGACACAAATTCTCAGGTGTCAGTCTAAACAAGCTCCAGAAATTGAATTAATCTTTTCTTTGTATTTGGGGGGGCCGGGGCGGAGGGTATAATCGACAATTATGGCTCCAGATCAGTCTGCCCACTGTGTGTGGATCACGCAGGACACAGGCAAGCTCAGTCTGGCAGCTATTTAAATCTTCACAATAGATGGCTACAAATCAAGCTAGTCGAAATTGGAGAGTTCCTTATTGAGGGTCCAAGTAATTACAGAATGTGCGCCACATCAAACAAATCAAACAATTCAAATCCGAGCCCTGAATTTCAATACTTGAATGTCTTGTTTTCCAACGTGTCCTGCAGAGAATGTTAATTCTCCCTCATGAATATTTCTATTGCGTTGAAAATCACTCGGTAAGCAGAAGAAGTCATACATAAGCCGTTGCTCGCTTCCATTATCAGGTAAAGCGAAGTGAAAATGGAAATAGAGCGGGAGCACATCTGAGTGAGTCTGTGCGATGTCATTATCTTACCTGACACTGAGATTCTCATGGAGGCCTCCAGGGGACGGTTGTTATCCAGGGCCTGGCTCAGCTGGATCTCCCCGGTTGTTTGGTTCAGTAGCACAAGGTTCAATTCGTTGCCAACCTTAAAGCTGTAGTGGAGCCGGTCCGAAACGTCCGGGTCGTGGGCGGGGATGCGGCCGATCACTCCGGCCGGGAAGCTGCTGGATTTGTCCGTCACGTAGTTGTTGAAGATGATCTGGAAGTTTTTGAGCACAGGCACGTTGTCGTTCTTGTCCACCAGTTTGATGTGGACTGTGGCGCGGCTGACCAAAGGGGCGGAGGTGGCCTGGACCACGATGATGTACTCAGACCTCATCTCATAGTCCAGGTCTATTAGCGACGTCAGTTCTCCTGAGAAGATATCAAGCTGGAACATCTCTGGGATGTTCCCTTCCACGATCTGGTACATGATCTGTGCATTACTGCCTTCATCTGGGTCTGTTGCTGATATAAGTGCCACCACAAGGCCAATGGGGGTGTTTTCATCTACCATAATGTCAAACTCATCTTTCTCAAACACAGGAGGGTTGTCATTCACGTCAAGAATCGTCACTTGGATGCTTATTGGCGTTTTCAAAGATGGAACACCTTTGTCCACGGCAAAGGCCTGCAGTCTGTAAACAGGCACATTTTCTCGATCCAATCGACGTAGCGTGCGAACAATACCTGATGTGGATTCGATTATGAAGTCCCCTTCACCATCCTCACCACCCAGGAAGGTGTAGAAGACGCGGCCGTTGAGCCCAGAGTCTCGATCCGTGGCGGACACCTGGACCACGCTGGTGAACACTGCCACGTCCTCCATCACGGAGCCCAAGTAGTTGTCTCTGAGGAAGCGTGGCGAGTTGTCATTCACGTCGTTCACCAGAATCTCCAGGTAGGTGGTGTCCGACTTCTGCGGGATGCCGTTGTCGCGGGCAGTGATGGCCAGTGTGTAGGACACCTGGTCCTCGTAGTCCAGTTCCATCTGCGTCGTGACGGCCCCCGTGTCAGGATCAATGTCAAACTGAGGGATGCTGTCGTCCATATAATAGGTGATGCGGGCGTTCTCTCCCGTGTCTTCATCGGTGGCACTTATAAGGACAACCGTGGTGCCCGTCGGTCTGTCCTCATTGATGTTGACCGTGTAGTGGGAGCTCTGAAACACAGGCCTGTGCGTGTTGGCATCGGTGACGTTGACAAACACTTTAGCCGTGTCAAAGAGCGTACCGTCGCTCGCAGTCACGGTCAGGACATACTGGCGCTCTAGTTTATAGTCCAAAGGTAGCGCCAGTGTGATAAGACCACCTCCGCTCTGACTTGTGATGGAGAACCTGTTGCGAGTGTTTCCGCTGGATATCTGGTACGTCACCACGCTGTTGATGTCCTGGTCCACGGCGGACACCGTCACCACGCTGGTCCCTACAGCCGCATCCTCATTCAATCGCATGTAGTACGCCTTCTGGGTGAACTCTGGGTTGTTGTCGTTGACGTCGAGAATGGTCATGCTAATGCTGGCGGAAGAGGACATGGCAGGGTAGCCGTGATCTCGGGCCTCCACCCCAAAGTTGTAGAAATCGACACTCTCTCGGTCCAGTTCGGCCGCCACTATGATCCACCCTGTGCTGTTGTTGATGGTGAAAGGGAAGTTTGGCATGGTTTCAGTGAGACGATAGTCCAGCCTGGAGTTGTCGCCAGAGTCCGCATCCACGGCTTGGATGTGGATGATGGAGTAGCCTAGTGGCACGTTCTCCAACACGGTAGCCTGGAAAGGGGTGCTGACAAAAATGGGGGCGTTGTCATTAACATCCATCACCTGCACCGTGACCAGACCGCTGATGTTGGAAAGAGGGGGGCGGCCCCCGTCCTGAGCTCGGATTCTTAAGGTGTATTCTTTGCTTGCCTCATAATCCAGGTGACTCACCAGGTCCATTTTACCTGTCTGGGCATCAATATAAAACTGCCCCCTGGAGTTACCACTCATGATGCTGAAGTGGACGATGGCATTGCTCCCTTTGTCCTGATCTGTGGCGGTCACTTGCAGGATCTCAGTATTTGGGGCCAAGTCCTCAAGTACCTGGACCACATAGCGTTTCTCACTAAATTGGGGAGCGTTGTCATTGTCATCCTCTACCACAATGTATACAGTAGCTGTCGCACTGCGGGGCCCGGGGTCACGGCCTTGGTCATTTGCCTGGACTAACAGCAAATACGCATCCACCGCTTCCCTGTCTACGAGGCCTTTGGTGCGAATAACACCAGACCTGGGGTCAATCTCAAACACATCATTTGACCCATTATTATTAAGAATTTGATAAAGGATGTTACCGTTAACTGGCGCGTCCCCATCAGTGGCCCTTACCGTCAATACTTCATAGCCGATCTCTAGATTCTCTCTGATGCTTTCCTTATAGTCCTGCTGCTCAAAAATGGGATCGTGGTCATTAGCGTCACTGACTGTAATGGTGAGTGTGGCCATGGCCGTGCGCCGAGGGGTTCCGTGGTCCACAGCGGTTACGCGGAACACGTGGGTTTCTTTCGTCTCGCGGTCCAACAACTCCACCGTGGACACGGCGCCGCTGGCCGGATCCACAGCAAAAAGGTTATTAGATCGGCTGTCAAAGAGAGCCTCGATGAAATACTCCAGCCGCCCCGCTTCACCCTCATCTGCATCTATTGCTTTCAAAACAACAACAGAAGTTCCAGCTGGCTTGTTCTCTGCCACGGACACCTGGTACATTGGGGGCTGAAATTGAGGGCTGCTGTTGATGCTTCTTCTCCTCCTGCCAACAATCCCCAAGTTGGAGCGAGCTGCCTTTTCTAGCAGCTTCTTGATGTGGCCCTGAAGAAAGGGGCCTTCTCCCACGCGCCAGTGGATGAAGATGGGGTCGACTCGTGTGGATCCGTCTCCGACCAGGACATCGCAGAGCAGGTCCAGCTCCAGGAGGGTCTCCTGGCTCCAGCACAGAGTCTTAGACACAAACAAGTCCCCATCGGAGAAGTAGAAGGGACCCCGGCTGGTGACCCGGCAGCGGATGGGCACTCCAGGTAGCAGCCCCCTCACTGTAAATAAACCAAAACCTGCTTGGTGGCACTGTGCCGGCTTAACACACAAACTGAGCACTTCCATGTCCCACTCTGTTTTCCTTGTGGGCTTTTTGGAGCAGTTTCTTCCGTGGATGTGAACATCATAGCGGCTAGTGATGAGATGCCGGTAGTCGGAACCCACGGAGTCCACGCAGTCCGACACGGTGAAAAGCGTAAACGGGTTGGAGCGCACCGAGGCGCACTTTATGGAATCCGAAAGAAACACGGTTCCCGTCGCGGGGTCGGTGTCCAGGAAGCGTTCGGTTGCTCTAGGAGCGAGCACCTGATCCAGTGCGCACCGAGCGCGCTGTTCCACGCCGGCCAGCACCGTCCTCGGTCGGGCATCCTCGCTGAGGTGAACCACGTAACTGGACACCAGCGGAACCAGCCCCCACCAACAGCAAAGAAGGAGAAAATCCAACTGAACGAAGTGCATCGCTCCTCGATGTGCATCCAAGGGTTCGAAGTGAGGAGTTCAAAACGTGTCGCTCCTTAAACTTTCCACCAGTGACTTTTCTTTTGTTGCGGAGGAGCCCATGCTCTCTCGCGGCGGGCGCACTTCTCAATCCGGGTGCCTTTTTATTCTGAATGGTATTTTCAAGGTAAAGGTAGAGCCTTTGCAGGACGGACTCTTTCACACAAGCGTACACACAAACACATTCACACACGCCGAGGAGCTCACTCGTACATCCTGACCGCCAGCGCAACTCCGCTTGAATGGTGAAAATGGCTCCTGCGACGCACTCGGGGTCCTCATTAACATAAACCCGCGTGCGTGCGTGCGTGCGTGCGTGCGCGTGTATGAAAACGTTGGACAGTTACGTGAAGGGGTCCACAAATCCTGCCACTGGAGATAAATGAAGACTTCCTTCCCGCGGCTTCATTTATTAAATGTAAACATGAGAAAGTCAACAGTGGCTCTCGTCAGAAAAGGTCATTTATTTCACTCATTCTCTTATCTACGCTGCTGCACATACTCTTTTGTGCATTCTTCAAATGTAGATGGGACCCAAGTGGTGATCTCCCACAATGTGTATTAGAATTAATGAGTGACAAACTTCCGTGACCCTTCCAAAAAAAACATCCCTACAGTGGTTTACTCATTAATAGATGACATTCTTCAGTCTTTGACTCACTTGTAACACACCGCGCCGTCAGTTTGCTCTTCCACCGGTTCACTCGTTGCAATCTGTGTATGGAACCCCTATGAAATGAATTTCACTGGGATCATCGAGCAAAGTTCTGCATCTTGTGACCTAATTGGATATTTGAAAAGTTGCTTGACTCCCAACTTGTTTTGATGTCAAAACATTTATCATTGTCCTCCAGATTACTGAGGTGAGCAAAGTAAACATTTGCCAGCTGCGATTAATTTTCACTATGTGGCTCATAACAGAGGCTATACCAAGCAGCTTTCATTTCAGAGAGTGTGATAAGCAACAACCTTTTTGGATTTGGATGCACACAGACCCGAACTATTGAAGTATATTCAAGCAAAAATAAATCTAACGTAAAATGCCAAAACGTACAAAAAATAAAAGCGCTGTCGTTTAGGACTGAAAATCTCAACGAGGTATTCGTTTGACAAGGTTCTTCTCGTTTGTCGAGCCACAACATGAGGCATTACTGCCATCTAGCGGACAAACTAGCACAAGCGCAGTCAGCAGACATACTACGCTCTTACTTACGACACCGTCGCATTTTTATGATTAAAAAAAACAAATGACACCGGTTTGACTGAATGGAAACCTAGTCTCTTGAAAGTTAGAAGCGTTGATTTCAATCACGCTTTTCCATTACGATGACTTTGCCCTTCCGTCCTTGAATTGTGAGATCAGTCGAGATGCTATCAAAGACTCAATCTTGAGTTTCTTCCGCTCAGTCTCTGACAGAATATTAATGTCACCCTGCTCAAGAGGTAAGTTATTTTTCTCAAAGCAGAAGAGCCTCAATTGAAATAGGTGAAAAACAGGACAACGCAACAATTATGGTATTGAATGGTAAAATGTCCTTTTGACTTGTACTGTAAATTGCAAGTAAAATGAAGCGGTGGTCTATGTCATAAATATAACATGTTAACTGTCTCTAGAATTCTGCACTAGGGATGGACATTTGACTGCAATCACTTTGTCAACTTACAGGGATTTTGATTTTTCTTAATAGGAGAATCGGTTGCATGAAGCCGATTAATTGGATTTTACACCAAAAGGTAGATGAGAGTGAATTAACAGCGCATCTGCTTTTTGCAGCCACAATTCCGCACAATCAACTAAATTTGTAACATTCAATCAATCGATTGTCCATCCCTAATCGTCTCTCCTATGAAGAAACAGAAGAAGGGTAGCTTTTTTTACTTTTTATTGTTGCTGGAGGCTCTAATACAATATGAATCATAAGCTTTACAAAATTAAAACAAAAACAAAATACAAAGTTTCCCCTCCAAAATGGAAACGGTCAAAGGTTTCCACTGACAAAAACTGTGACCCCCAACAAAGACATAGAAGGTGAGCAGAGGGAAAAGTTAAGATACTGTCAAGAGGGGAGGGAGTTAAACTGTCATGTTATACACATTGTGGCAAGGGGGGGGGGGGGGGGGGGGGGGGGGGGGTCATTATTATGGCGGTAAGTATTTTCCACTGACTGCAACTCCTCTCTTACACACGGGCTCACATGCATGCCGACAGATGATGAGTAAAAATCTTCCGACACAAGGCAAAAGCCTCCATGTGAAGGGAAGACTAAAACGACAGTTATCAATTTAGACAAAGAAATCTAAGGTTGGGGGAGGGCGTGTGTTCAAGGAAGAAACGTGATCACGACGATGCCACCGAGAGCACAACAGCCTGTGCATGTTTGTCTCCTCGACTGAGAGGAAATAAAGATCGTTCAGTTCCAAATGACTGAGGACATTGCGGAAGTGGTGGGGCGGGGGGGATTAGTACTACACCGACCCTCACGCTGCAAGACTATCATTAACCGTCATCATGCTATCTTTAGTTTCGTGGAACACGGAAGGGAGTGTGAGTGAATGGCTTCAGAACATGGAGAAATACATGAAAACAACAAAATTTGACAGGAGAAAGGGGCGAGAGAAAAGCTAAGCATTTTCTCCTTTTTTTTTTATTTCTTTTTTTTTTCTTTCCCACAAATTAACAAGAGTGCAGCGCGGAGGAGGAGGCGGCGGTGAGAGAGACAGACGGGGAAAATTAACATGAGAAGAGATGGCGGAGAGAAACGGACAGAACAGTAGCATCTCTAGCTTTGGTTTTTCAGTTTGAGCGCCTTGAACAGTTCGCTTTGGAGAGCCTCCTGCTTTGACTTGTCAGCCAGAGATGTAACACTCCTGCAAGGGAGAGAGACAGACAGACACACATGACAATCAATCAATCAGTCAGTTAGTGGGGGCACAAAAACAATAAGAAAACAAATCTCTGTAAGAATGTTAGTAAAGTGTCTCAGTCCGGTTTCTCCTCCTGAGTAAGAAAGCAGCATTCACCTTGCCACACGACAAACTTCCTCGGCAATCAGGTCATTTCAAGTTCACTCATCAGCTTAAATCTTTTTTTTTCCACTTCAAATATATCAAACCACATTGTACCGTTGCGCCTTCTCATGTCCCAAAATATGAGAAACACCTCGGAGTAAGTGCAATTCAGTCCCGCTGTGACATTAAAGCCAAGCAAATTAACACTTAAAACTCTTGAGTGACACTCAACACCGCATATTATCGTCTGGCAGAATTTATGATCCCGCCCTTGTATTCTTGGGTTACGCAGGTGTACCTAACGTGGTCGATGAGAAGGTGCATCTTATTTTAAAGGCACTTGAGGAACGTGTGGTTTGTTGCTACAACAGGAAGTTAGTAAAGTGCATTTCAGTGATGTTCGCTTCCTCACAGGCGCCAACTGTAACTAAACAGTTACCAAAATAGAAATTCAACGCAGTTATGTCCATATGGTCACACACTTTATACAGGGTGGTTCCTGCGCTCAAAATTGCGCTGCAGTTTCAGCATTGTACCACTACGGAGGCGCTATATCAAAAGCTGTGCACATGAAAGACATAAAGCAACTACCGAAGAAGAAACAGATCAAATCGGCGTCCTGACTTTCCGGAGTAGATTTCACAAACTGGTAAATATTGAAAGTATGTTTCCTGTAAAAAAAAAGTGTGTCGGGTGAATTTACAGAATACATGCACATCATGGTTAGGATGGTACCACCCCTGCCTTAGTTTGTCCTGCGCTCAAAATTGCGCTGCAGTTTCAGCATTGTACCACTACGGAGGCGCTATATCAAAAGCTGTGCACATGACAGACATGAAGCAACTACCCAAGAAGAAACAGATCAAATCCGCCAAATCCGCCCCGTTAGCGGTGCTATCGGCGTCCTGATTTTCCAGAGTAGATTTCACAAACAGGTAAATATTGAAAGTATGTTTCCTGTAAAAGAAAGTGTTTCGGGTGAATTTACAGAATACATGCACATCATGGTGCATGGTTAGGATGGTACCACCCCTGCCTTAGTTTTAGCCAGGAAAACCCTTGACTTTATACATACAGGGGGGAAAAAAAGTCTTCTTTTTTTTGAAGGCTTTCTCATTTTAGGAATTTCAGCTATTAAGAACTACTGGAGGGTCAAGCTGCAACTGTTTTGGCTCATTGCCTGGTATTTTGTTTTCAATTAAACAGGAATGACAGAACTGAGCGTCAGTCCCGCTCAGCTTTTAATGTTTTCCACACACGTGCACACTCCTCATGCCAGGCTGTACCTCCGGCCCTAGTCAATGAAGATCTGACGCTGGGTGAGGACCTGCGACAGCTCCCTCTGGAGCTGCCGGTACTTTTGGTTATCAGGCAAAGACTCAATAGATCTAGAGCAGAGATAAGAGGAGGGGTGGGAGGAAGAGGTTTACGCGGTGGACAGAACATGGAAAAAGCAATGCTTGAAATATACAAAAATAGAAATACAGAAAGGTTGTGGAGATTGGAGGAAGAGGACAGGCTGAACATTTAAAAAAAGAGAGAAATTAATGTAGAGATGCTAAGGAGGCTCAGGAGACAGAAATCAGTACAATTCCCCACAGTATTTTTTTAAAATGTATTTCGTGTTCAGTTTGAATTCAGCATCAGAGACGGCTCATCAAGTGCGAGTTTTTTTTTTTTTTTTTTTTTTGCAATCAGACGGATCTTTTAGATGTCCGTAATGTTGGGAATTGCACAGATTTTGACTCCTGGGCATTCCAGGAAATCATGAGGGCTGGCACCTCTCTAAAATTAGCTTCAAGCAGATATAAGGTCTGAAACAAAGAAGGAAAAAAAAAGGATGAGTGTTATCAATAGGAGCTGTGGTTGCTGCTGGCTGCTGGTGCTTTTTCAAGGAAACAAGAGAAACACCCATCCATCCCCTTATAATCCTTACCTAAGTCCGTTGACAATATCCTTAGTTTTCCCAAAGTAGATATCATTCAGTGTGGAGCGAATCTTGTTCTCCATTTCCTGCAACAAGACACGTCAATGCTTAATGGAAGAATAAGCAACAGATTGCTCAGAAAGACTTAATGCAGGAGATTAAAGGAAAAAAAATAAGATCATGAATCAGTCTGCTCGTCACTATACTGACTTCGACGAGACGGCCGATGTTGGCGATGTGGGGTGAGGACTCTCCAACTGTATCGTCTTTTTCCGCCTGCGGAGGAAAAAAAAAAGTGAGTTGACGTGTGGCAGGTCAAGTTGGTCGCGCTCAAGTTTGACAGCGTACTTGTCTTGTGAGACTGCCGCCCAGATTCATGGTGCCAGAGTCACTCTTAGTCGTCTGAAGCCACAACATGACGGTGGAGGTGAGTTTGTAGTGCGCGTTGCGTCCAGTGGACTTTTCCTGAAAACGACAAGATCACAATTTGCTGAATGGTGCATCTTTTGATTCCGCTGTTGTTTCAGAAAAGTTTTTCTCTGTTCTGCAATTTGGCAAACTTACAAGCGCAGGAACAGTGAGACTTGAAACTCACCTGCACCTCCACTACATGGATGGAGTCCCAACACCCTTTGATCTTTTTGGATCCATCGCCAGCCTTTTTGATGAGAATAACGCCAGCGAAGCCGTGATCCAAATCCCAAAGGTACACTGATGAGACCCCACCCTCAAAGTACCTACAAACAAATTTGGGAGTTGCACAAGGGTGAATGTATTTGTGTGTGTGTGTTTCTGAGTCTGTTTATTTCATGTAAACTCACAGGTCTCTGTACTGATCAAAGGCGTTATTGGCTTCGACCTCCAGTTTCCTCAAGCGAGATGAAGGCATGGCACCGTCTTCAATGGGAGGGTCATACTTATTACTCCACGGGGATCTAAAGTACCAGGAAGTAGAACATGTTACGTGTTCAAAGTACATCAAACTTTGGGGATCACGGGAAATATGAAATTAAGTAAACGTGTTTATGTAATTAAAAACTTTTTTTTTAATATTTAGATGACCATGTCTGCGTATGACAAAATAAAATA